ATGTTATATAAAAGCTGTCCTTCTCTTCATTTGGCTTAGTTCTTCAGAGAACCCTGCTGCAGCCATTTAGGCATTATGTGATCCCAAATGGTGACACTTTTGTGGTTACAAGGACACTGAAGTGAGCCATTTGTCTGCCTCATGTATGTCCTTTCATTGGAGTTTGGATAAACCCTCAGATAAACTATTTTAGATACATTCTGCAAAAGAGTGGCTATAGAATATTGTCTCTTTTTTAGCCTCTCTCTAGAATCTTGCAGGTATTTTGTGTAGCTATTTTTTAACCAGGTTTTTATTTCCATGTCAGCGTTCATCCATGCTATAACATATAAACATGTAAGCTAATTTCAGGACACCAACTTTTACATTTAGATTGCTATAGTTTTTTTCTGAAAAGGTCACAAAATGACTACTCTGTACCAGTAAACACAATTAGTGAATTAGGTTGTTGAGAACTAAAAAAAMCTGTATAAATGGCTACTGTTAAAGTCTAAAAAAGCAGGAGATAGGTTATTCCATTTGTAGGTAAGGTTATGCCTAAAATACCTTTAACAGTTTGCTTGGATAGTGCCAGCTAGCAATGTGTGCTCTGTTCCAAAGCACCAGCCTATATTTTTGGATCATCTTTCAAGACTGAGATGATATAAGGCAATTAATAGTGTTTTGTGACCTTCTGCACCAGTAGTCCATCTTTTTGGCATTAAAACTGATTTTGCCCAMCTTGGCATTTTATCACCTAGGAGTACATGGGGAGATCAAAAAGACACCTTTTACAGCAGCAGTGGAATGATTTAGTTCAGTCACACTGTTCTTCAAATTCACCRTTTCTTACAAGCTGATGAGGCAAACCTCTTCTTTGCTTAATGTCACATAAGGTACATTGAAAAGCTGTGAAGAGGCAGATGTTCTATAGCTTCACTTCATATGCAAAAACCTGTTATTCTTTATTTGCATTCAATTAGAAGTCAGACCCCAATGAATATCTAATGTAGGAAATGGGGAAAAGATTTGCCATCAAGCATATGCTTTGCTTGTAGTGGATCTCAGTAACCTGCTATTGTGCCTTCCTGCAGTGATTCGGTCATTTCTGCTGTATTAATTACACTTTCCAGCTCAGGGGTAAGGGCTGTTAATAGGTGACAACTGGAGTTACGTTCCAGCTTTTAGAAATGTTGYCTTTTCTCATTCCTTTTGAAAAGCCATTCTGCAGTTGCTAAATTTCCCTTACTAAGTAGCTCTGTTTAAGGATTTAAGTGCTACAGCATTACTTTCATACTCATTTTCTTTTTWGATATAGTTGTGCTTTGTTTGATCCTGTGAAGGCTCTCCTGGCAATCCCGAGTATATGAGGAGCTCAGAAGTTATAAAACTGTTGTGTTGTCAAGAAGGGAAGGTTCAAATGATCACWGTAATATGAAGCAGAAGTGGCAGTATCTTCCAGAACAGCTGCTGTGATTGCTGTGACCCTGTAAGAGCACACATTCCAGGGTATTACAGTACCAAGGGAGAGATGGAAGTTGTCTGGAGCCKGAGACATCAGACAGGGATAAACAAAGCTGCTTTTCATCACTGCAGCMTAGGGTTGTACAGATTCTGGAGGAAAACAAATCTCATAGCCTCCTAAACTGGGTGTGATTAGAAACTTGCTTTGTTACATCTTCCATTCCCTTTCTTCTCTTTGCACCACTCCTACCACATGTTCTGGAGAACACATGACATTTCTTCCTTCTTCCTTTTTCCTCTTTTCTCTTTGCTTTGATGTAACATTGTAAATTAAACCATCCTCRCCCATATCCAAGCAATGCATTGACACAAAAGGGAAACCTTGAGAGTATTTTTAGGTGCTTTGCAAACTTAAGCAAATAGATCAATATTACTTCACAYATGCCTCAAGTTTGGAATTATTCTTTGTCCTACCATTGTGATAATAAAAAATTCAAATATTTTAAGGGAAAAAAAAAGGCGCAACTAGGTGAAATGATGAAACTAAGTCTGTCACATACAGTTGCCTAATCCTTGTGGTTTTTTCTGGGAATCTCTAGCACAGAGTAAAATATAGAGAAACAACAAGATTAAGTGTTTCATCTAAAAAAAAAAATCRAAAACAACTGTCATGGTTTCCTGTGAARGTTATAGGTATTTCATATAATTGGATCAGGTATTTCTGGCCAGTTTCTCCAGACTGAGCCTGCTTCTGATGGGCATTTTCTCAAGATGCGCTAAAGGACAGGCTGAAAGCCAGAATGAATCATTGTTTTGGTAGCAACAGCCCATCTCCAGCTGAAATTGTTTGTGGTGCCCCTTGGCCCATCTCTTAGTATGTCAAAAGCTGTGAAAACATGAGGCTGAGGACAGACTTGAAGGGGCTTGCAGTTATTTTGGGTTATTTGGGGTATGTTAGGGAAGCATTTGACAGAAATCTGCCAAGTGGCTGATCAGACCAGAACACCAGTGCACCACTGCTGTGGTTGGTTTCTGATGCCTGCTTTTGACACATAATGAGGATTTTTGGGAGTGAAAGTGAATGTGGTTTTTATCTTGATTTTTAAAAGCATGGTGTTCCTAGTAACCTGAAGAGGAAAAATACATAAAGCATCCTGATACAGGAAATGAAATAGTGAATCAGTGCTGATAAAAGGGATGGGGGAAGAGCAATGRCATCCAGTATTTATTAAAAGCACAGTGCAGTGAATATGGAATCACAGCATGGGTCAGGTTGGAAGGGTCCACAGTGGGTCATCTGATCCCACCTCCCTGCTCAAGCAGGGCCATCCCAGAGCACATGGCACAGGATTGTGTCCAGACAGTTCTGGAATATCCCCAGGGAGGGAGCCTGTTCAGTGCTCGGTCACAGCACAGCGAGGAAATTCTTTTTCATGTTCTGGTGGGCATCAGTTCTGGGTATCAGTTCCTGCCCATGGCCTCTTGTCCCATTGCTGGGCCCCACGGAGCAGAGSCTGGTCCGTGCTCTGACACCTCCCAGCGGATRCTGACAGGGATGAATGAGGTCCCCKCTCAGTCATCTCSTCTCTAGGCTAAACAGGCCCAAWTCCCTCRGCCTGTCCWYSTAWGAGAGRTGCTCCAGTCCCTAAATACACAGAGAATAGTGAGATTATTGACAGGATCTGATTTGCAACAGGACTRCCTTGAACTGCTCTCACTCCCCCAGCTCCTAGAATTAAGAAGCACATCTGAACGTCTGTACCCGGACAAAGCTGCCCCTGTTTGTGTTGAGGAGGCCCTTCCCGAGGTGCAGGAGCGGGGATGCGGGTTTTCCCGAGGTGCAGGAGCGGGGATGCGGGTTTTCCCGAGGTGCAGGAGCGGGGATGCGGGTTTTCCCGAGGTGCAGGAGCGGGGATGCGGGTTTTCCCGAGGTGCAGGAGCGGGGATGCGGGTTTTCCCGAGCTCAGGAGGAGGTGCGGGCTCTCCCGAGGTGCGGCCGCCGCCAGATGGAGCCGCCGGGCAGCGGGACATGGGCGCGACAAGAACCCATGGCGGGGAGAGCGACACAGCGGCGGGATCCAAACCCCCGAGTGAGAGCTGTGCTGACAGACGAGCATCGCTGAGCGCTCACCAAGGACAGTAACAGTATATTCCACCAGATCCTGCCTGGGAAGCACGGACAGAACCGAATCGTAACCCAGSTGATGCAAGAAGCAGGTTCCCGTTAGAAGGAGATTACCATTGTCTGCAGCTGAGTCAGAGTTTGTGTAAGAGTGTAGTGCGATTGCAACAGCATGTACAGCACTGAAGATACACCCTATACTGSCATCTTACATTTCGATTTTAGTAATTTCTATCACACTAATAAATAGGCCTAATAAATACCTTCTGATGCAGCCCTAATAACCCATGTGTATTTTTAACTGGGGTAGAGACGTAATGATTTGGTTTAGCATAGTGATAAAAATTCCCTCCTTTGATGGTTGGCAGACTTCATTGCTTTTAATTTTGCCCCTTGGAAAGCTGCTTACAGCTGGAATTCGGGGTGTTACTTTTTAAAATGTACATGGCATTTAGGTTCTTTGCTCATTTTAGGAATTACATTTGTCTTTTACATCCAAATCATAAAAATCAAGAGCATCAGTAGACCTGTAACATTTTGAGTTGTTACACAGAGAGTTATTTTATGTGATCGTATAAAGCATGGGGAGGTTAAGAAGTCCCCAGTGCAGCCACAGGAAAGGGAYAAAAAATGCGGTTTTATTTCACCTTCATTTTTTCATCCTGCATTTTTGTCTTTTGAACAAGGAATTGACAGGAGATGGTTTATCTTAAATCAGAAATGAAATCATAGTAACATCTTAGTTTACAAAGCCAAAAACCTCTGTTATTAAACCATTCTTGAGGAAATGACAGCATTTTTAACATTAGGCAGTAACTTTTCCAAGACTGTACTGCTATTACGAACCAGTGTGATATTTCAGGAGCCATATGTGACACAGCTGTTTTAATGCTCGTTTGATTGCTCCTGGTGCTCTATCAGACTAGCACACTGCATTTTACTGAGCTGGTGACTGAAACAAACCTGGATGATAAGCATGCAAAAATATCCTGAGATTAAATTCTCAGAGCAGGGCCAGGCATGTCCCAACAGCGTTCTGTGGTAGGCAGCCCCTTTTCTCCTCATCCCAACCTGGTGTTGAACACTTCCAGGGTTGGGGCAGCTAAAATGCCTGTCCTTCCCTATTCCAATGCCTCACCACAGAGAATTTTTTTCCTAATCTCTAATCTAAACCTACTCTCTGTCAGTCTGAAGCCGTTCCCCCTTGTCCTGTCACTACATGCTGTAGTAAATAGTCTTGCCCCATTTTTCCTCTAAGTTTCCTTCAGGCATTGGAAGGGCACAATTAGGTCACCCCGAAGATGCTCTTCCCCAGGCTGAACAATCCCAACTCTCTCTGCCTTTCCTCCCAGGAGAGGCGCTCCATCGCTCAGATCGCCGCGGTGCCTGCTCCGGGCCCGTCACAGCGTGTGACACCGGCACAGAGCCGTGTCCGCACCGCGCCGTGTCCGCACCGCGCCGTTCCCAGCCGCGCTGCCGGCTCCGGGAGCGGCCCAGCCCGGGGCGGGCGGAGGCGGCGGCTCAGAGCGGCGGAGCCGGTGCGGAGGGACCGGGGCTGCGTTGGAGGGTGCGGGCCGCACTGCCCAGGCTCAGGCCCCGCTGCCCGGGCCCAGCGCTCCGCGGCTGCCGGAGCTGAGGGCGGGCCGGGCCGGGCGCTGCGCGGGGCCGCCCCTTCTCCGCGCCGCCGCTGTTTCCTGCCCGGCCGGCGGAGAGCCGGGCTGCCGGCGGAGGTAGGCGGGGGAAGGATGAAAGGAAGGAGGGAGGGAAGGAAGAAAGA